AAGTCATTGTTCTACCCGTTCGGCTAACGACCCTCCACCGATCAAGCAAGCGGTGGGTGAGAGTATACACCCATTAAGTCGCCATTTTATAGGCAACAACCTTATACCCACCTTATAGACCGGCTTCGTGAATGAGGCCTACTAACGGTAAAACGACTTATTCTTATACATATATATAATAATTAACCATTAATGTTATAAATAGTATAAGGGTTGAATTTTAACTATTAAAACTCTAAGGTTTGGAATTAAAGTTTATTAAAGTGTGTGAAACTTTACAAATTCCAAAACTTGAGGGCAAGTTTTGTAACTTTGCAAAACTCTTCATTTCATAACTTATGAATTAAAGGTTCATAAAAATGAAGACTCTTCATTTTCATGTAACTTATGTGTTTTAAGTGTGTGTTAAATGAAAGTGACCTTTGGTAATCCATAACTTGAGGACAAATTATGGACTCCATTAAAACACATAAATGATAAAGAATTAATCCTAAACAATTCAGCAAATAATTCCTATCATTTTCTAAATTCATAAGAACATGAACATGATCATCAAAAATTCAAGAATTATATGAACACATAAAATCATGGAATTTTGATATATGCTATTGCAAATGGATTAGAACAACCATTACACCAACTAAAATAAGTTTTATAACACCAAAACAGTTTAGGGTAATGTTTCTAGTCCATTTCCAGCAGCAAAAGTCGAGAATCTGCACTCTTTCGATCCTACTCGTCGAGTGCATGAACTTACTCGCGAGTAGGTTGAAGTTTGCCTTGGACTCGTCGAGTCCCCCCAATGGACTCGGCGAGTCCACCATGCTGACAGCAACGATTTCGACTTTTTTCACTATTTTGCATCAAGTATCAAACAAGCAAGCCTAGGCTCTGATACCACTGTTGGGTTTTGAGCAATCTAACACTTCCTAAGTGTGCATGCAACCCTAATAAACCTTGGATCTATGTTTGTCTAAATACATGCAAAATAATAATTTTCCAAGGTTTATAACCTATCTAACATGGCATGGGGAACATTTCAACATAAAAGAGTTAGAAGAGATTACATACCTTTTGGTGAGTTTGGTTCTAAGGAGTTTGAGGGCCAAGCACCAATAGTGTGAATGCCTCAAATGGAATCACAAACACCACAAACTCTTGGAAAACTTTGAGAGAGTATACACCTTGTATAAAATCGGCCACACACATGCACACACACACTAGTTCACTAGTTTTCTCTTAGGCTCCATTTCATGCTCCATAAGCATGCTTATATAGTGTGCATGGTTAGGGTGAAACCCTAATAACCCATGTCTTTTCCTTTTCCAAGGATCCATGGGTTAAAAGCTCCATGGATCATCCATGGACTTCCACATAAGCCTAGCCCATTAACAAATGAGTATTAGCCCACACTATATAAAACAAATAGCCCATAATTTAATTAGTATTCCTTTTAATCTCTAAATTAATTCATAATTAATTTAAGACTAAAACTAATTAAATAACGTAACTTAATATTAATATATTATAACTCATAATATATTAATAAACCTATGTGTATAACTCTCATAAAATTATCCATAATAGTTTGGATGAGATGCAACCCAAATGGACCATGCCGGTCGGGTCAAGTATATACCAAATAAGTTATGGACTTAGACACCTTATCCAACAGTTTTCCCTCAAGATTTAGTGACATTATCTATATGGGGTTTGATGTACCATCTACACGGATCCTAATAGTCTAAGATATCTCATGGATCAGTCGAATCCGAATATGAAACAGCGTTGATGGCTTGACCTGGTAAATGATTTTGACTACGAGCTTATGTATCATACCGGTAAAGTAAATGTGGTTGTTGACGCTCTGAGTCGCAACACGGCTAGTACTTCTGGGGGTTTATGCATGACGATTTCTATCGATTATCCGTTTCTAGATTTGATTAGGTAGGCTCAGGATGAGGGAGTAAAGAAGTAGAATTGCAAGCAGGAGAAAATCAGGGGTGGCATTTACAAGTTCTCTACTGATAGTCATAGACTATTGACCCAATGTGGTCGTGTATGGGTGCCATTTTCTGATGGAGTCTGACAGATAGTTTTGGAGGAAGCTCATAAGTCCAGATTTTTTATTCACCCTAGAGCCACCAATAGCTATTGGGGTTTGAGACTTAGTAACTTGTGGCTATTTGTGAAGAAAGATATTGCATGGTACGTGGAGAGGTGCTTGACCTATTGCATGATCAAGGCTAAGAACTAGAGACCACACAGAAAGTTACAACTTTTAGAGGTTCCTATATGGAAATAGGAATAGATCACCATGGATGTTATCACAAGGTTACCCATGAAGGCTAAAGGATTTGATGCAATTTGTCTCATTGTGGATCATTGAACCAAGAGTTCCCATTTTGTAGCTATTTGGGAGATTCCGTCGTCTGAGAAATTAGCCGATGTGTATGTATGCAAGATCATTACTCACCACGGGGTTCCAATGTTTATTGTATCGGATCAGGATGTTCAGTTTACTTCATAATTTTGGCAAGTTCCCCAAGGAACTAGGTACGAGATTACATTTTAGCATTGCCTATCATTTGCAAACAAACGAATAGAACGATCGAACCATCCAAATGCTTGAGGATATTTTGAGATCCTGTCTCATATATTTTAGTGGGAATTTGGACTCCTACCTTCCCCTAGGTGAGTTATCATACAAAAACAACTACCATTCTAGTATTGGTTTACTGCCTTTTTTTGCTTCTTAATACGAGGAAGTGTTGTATATCGGTTTGATGGGGAGAGGTTAGCCACAAAGTTATGAGTAGGACCAAGGTAGTTCTTCATACTACATAGATTATATAACAGATCAGAGAAAGATTGTAGACAGCCCAGAGCTGGCAAAAAAGTTGTGATGACCAGTGATGATCAAACATCGAGCTCCAAGTAGGGATTTGGTGCTTCTGAAGGTGTCACCTTCGAAGGATGTCATCTGGTTTCTGAAGTAGGGCAAGCCAGGCCCCCGGTTCATCAATCCCCTCCGATTTATCGCACGAGTATGAAAGGTTGCATACCGTCTGGATTAACTTGATGAGCTTAGGCAGATCTACAACACTTTCCATGTCTCTCAGTTACAGAAGTGTGTAGCTGATGGTTCTACATTGAATCCTTTGGATGACATTCCGGTCGATGAGTGCTTAAATTAAGTAGAGAGTCCGATTGTGATGCTCTACAGAAAAACAGAGACTCTATGCAACAAAATGGTGAACATGTTGAAACTGTAGTGGCAGCACTAGAAGGGTTATTAATGGACCTAAGAGTCAGAGGACAAAAAGAGAGAGAATTACCCCGAGTTATTTGCGGTGGTGGACTTGAGGATGAATTTTGATTCAATTTGGGGAGATTTGTAATACCTGGATCCCGAGGTGCTTAACAATTTCACTTTTTGGCATTATAGGGATTGCCAAAGCATGGTGCAGGCACCACGACATGAGAAATTAAGATAAGATAAAGGGTACATTTAAGCCACCATGGTGTGGAAATATATGGGCACTGCGTGGCAGGTGAAAACTGAGAAATCCTATTTTTCCTGGTTTTACTCCCTACTTAAAGAATGAGGAGACTAGTTTTTCTCATCCTCAACCTCCTTAAGACTTGAGAAACCCTAATCCCCTTCCTCCTCTATTTAAGAATTTTTTTTGTTGTACTTTGATTCCATTTAAGGAAGAAAGAAGAAGAAGTGAGCAAAGATTCAACAAGCAAGTCCTCCTCCTTTGTTCTAACACTCTTCTGGACCTTCGTAATGTCTAAGACCAATGTTTTATCATGATTGGTTGCTAGAACTTGAGTTTTGTCCCTAAATCTTCATGTTCTTGTTGGTTGGAGTGGTGATCTCTCATAAAGTTTACAAGTTTATGAATCTCCAGACCATTGAGGGTATTTGGTGCTTTGGACTTAGATTAGTAATGTGTTTTGGTGTCATGCGTAGATTTTTTGTCATAAACCTTCTTTTCGACCTAATGGGAGTTCAATACACGCATTGGACATGCGTGTCTAGAAATCATGGAATTTTATTTTATTTATGATGGGATAAATCGTTTTGGAAGCGTTAGACCAGAGGTTTACAAGATTAAGTGCTTATTGGTTTAATCCAAGTTTTGTTTTGCCTCTTTTGGACCTAAGAGTGAGATCTCTATCTCTTGGAAGTATAAAGGGTTAAAGTTGGGAACTTTATCCACTTGGACTACATAATTGACTAGATATGAGCTTTGGAACTCGTAGAATCAAACAGAACGACTTAACATATTAAGCTGTTAGGAGCTCGGTACCCACAGTGTGGCCTTAGGTCGCCACGGCATGCAAATTGGATAAGGCTCGTTTGTTTTGTCAATAAGCCGCCACAACGTGGCCTTTGGATGGCGACAACATGGCGACTAGTTGAAGGTTGACTTTTGACCATTAACTTTGACCAAGTAATGTTTTATAAAATTTGGCAAAAAATATAAGAATATATTATGTTTTTTTTTTCATATTTATATAAACTACTTCAACGACAATTATTGTAATAAATCTTTATTTATAAATTTGTCAAAATTTTCATGTTTGTATCGTCGAACGTTTTTTTTTAAGTTTTGTAATTTTTTTTCCAAATTGTTTATCAGTAATAAAGTTAGAAAAATTATAAAAATTTTAAAAAAAACAAAGATATATATGTTTTTTAGGCTAGAAGATGTCTGAAGATGTTAGAAGACTCTGGTCCACATCTACGCCAAGAAGAGGGCGCGCACACATTTTTAGGTCTGCAGTCTTCAAAAAAATAAACAGTCTGCGAATGCTAATATCTGGGCGTGGTCTACGCGACACGGTAAGAAGAAGCCACGCAGATCTGCAGACAATATGCAAACACTACCTAAGTCTCAGGAATTGTTATTAAGGATGTTACTAATGAAGAAGCACAAAAGAGCTAGAAACATAACATTGTTGGGGTGCTTAAACAATTTAAGAAGCTTATGGATCAAATAGTCGAAGAGCCTTCTACTAAAGCTATGTCAAAATTGAAGATTTTTGAAGCATATTGTGATAGCAAAGAGAAAAAATATGAAATTTTTAGGAATGATACTCTCACATTCAATGATTCACCTAGACAAGATGCCATTGTTATGTCAAATATCGAGGAGGTAAGTAATCCTGATGTCACTGTAAATGCAACTAATATGGATACAAACATCAATTATGGTGAACCAATCATTACTTCTCTTCCTGAGATGACGGTTGTTACAACACCGAAGATCCTATTTCCACGTCTGGTGTAGAGGAGGGTAGGTCTTCAAACATCACTGAGAACTTATATAATAAGGACTCAAATGTTACTATGGGTGAGGAAAATTCAATATCTGGTATCTATACTTCAACTTTTCCACCACCAACAACTTTGACTATCATACTGACAACAGTTTATGTTGTTTCTCCTACTTTTCAAGGCATCATCAATGAGCCTATCACTTCTTTATTCTCTTATCAATCAACAGATCAAGATACTCTAAATAATGAAGACGAAGAAGATGAGATGGTTGAATTTGCTAAGCTAGAGATTGACCATGAAGAAGAAAATGTTGATGACAATGCAATTATGTTAGGAAAGCATTACAAAATCCTTAACTCTAAACTCAACCCAATTCTTTAATTTTTAAATGATATTATTGGCAAATCCTCTATGAATGGTGAAAAGGTTGAGCATCTGTTAAAGTCCCAAGAGTCACGCAAAAGGATTTTGATATATAATGTTGTTACAAGTTTGAAAGAACGTCTTGTTACTTAATCGAGTTCTTACAAACATGAAGTCAAAGAATTGTCGAAAGTTGATCGTGAGTGGCATGAAATTTTTGAGAAGCTTGTGAACTTTTCGAAAGAATCCATTGAATCAAAGCTCAAGTATTTTGTTGAGACGTTTTCAAAAGAAGCAACGAAGTTGGATAAGTTTTCTATGAGTCCTAGTTGTCAAAATCGTGATCCTAATCGTAGGACCCTACTATCCTAGATATTAAAAATGAGTCGGATCGTAAATGGATCCTATTTGGGGTAGGATCGCATGTAGGATCATAGGATCAGGATCTAATCCGATCCTATCTTCCTTTGATTTTTTTTCCAAATGAACTTTTTTACCAATTTTATGTCTTTTACCCTTCACCAAGTTACCGTTTATCATTTTGTGTTGTGACTTATTACTAATATTTTGAAGTTTTTATAACTTTTGAAGGAAAAATTAAAGGTTTGAAATAATCTTTACTTTTTAAAATTATAAATTAAAAGTATGTTTTATTTTGTAGGATCTTGATCCCGATCTTACTATCCTGATCTTGCAAACCCAAAAATGATCCTACATAGGATCTTGATCTTGACAACCTTGGTGTGAACATTAAGGATAAAGTTGAAGTTCTTATGAATGCAATTTGAACCTTGATTCAACATGTTAGTTCCTTCAATATGGATTATGTTGGTGTGTTGAAGCTTAAGAAGGAGTAAGATGGTAAAGCTTTTACAATAATCGAGAATTTGCTTACTCGTTTTCATGAAAGAGTATCAAAGTTTGATTTTCCATCCACAACATTGACATCTCAGAAGAAAATTCCTTCGATGGTTTCATCAGTGGAGTCATGTTATAAGACTGTACTTGTGCATATTCTTGATTTGGTTCTTCAATTACTCACCAATGCTCCACCCCTATCAACTAATGTGTCACAAGGGGGAGATAAAGGGGATATCACATTGAAACATAATGGAGAGGACAAAGGCAAAGTTGTTAGGAAGGTGTTTTCTATTCAAAGCCTAACTTCAGTACACATGAAAGTCGTTATGGAATCTTTGACAACAACAACAATAGTTGCTCCAAATATTGAATTCAATATGTCTAAGCTGCAATTGAAAAAGGTATTGAACATTAATTAGGGAGGTTTATGTTTCTCAACAATTAAACCTATTACTTCTAATCAAAAGATAAAGGAAAAAAAATGCTCATGTGGAACCTACATCTGAGGAAAAAAGACACTAGTTATGGCCTTGATATGGCTCCCTCCCATTCTAGTGAGTCCAGGTGAAAGGTTCATGACTTTCCCCTTGCAAAGAAGCTTCAAGAGCTTGAATTTGAAAGAATGAAGCAGCAAAACAACATAATGAGGATGAGGGCGAATGCCTGACAAGTCTTAACTAGGGAGATCCTAAGAGGGTTTGGTTTCATAAAATGATTGAAAGTGAAAATCTTGAAGAGTATATTATTTTGATAAACGACCAAGAAATATCTACCCAACTAAAGATTCAGACTTCAACCAACTGGATTTTCAAGTCAATCATTTGATGTTTATCTTTCCTCATTTCAAGCTTACTGAGAATTATAAGGATCCCGACGAGTTTAAAAAGTTAAATATTCGTTTCTATGTGGTGCTAAGGAAGAATGAAAAAGATATGTGGTCTTTGGTAAATATTAAACTTATATCAATAACTCATGATACTTTGATTGAAGGAGTCTTGAAAAATTATCGATATAGTCTAGTCCGGGAAAACAATGTTTTATTTGACTTCACCATTACCGACTTTCCTTTGATGAATTTGGTTGATCTCGTCATGATTGCGAAGATCTTGGGAGATTTGATTAAATCCCAAATTCACGAAAAATCTTCGTACATCATTGGATATGGTCACATCAAATGCTTTTTGGACTGTTATTATGCTTACCTAGCATTAACATATCTTGATCTTTCCACTGCCATCAACAAGAATTTGAAAGTTTCTAAGGCTTTGTTGAAGGTATAATCAAATGGTGATAATCATGAAGATGGATAAAATGTCAATCAACCGTAGGGGGTTGTCCAAGGCAAGAATAAAAAAGGAGGGAAGAAGAAATACTTATTCCATATAGATGATGTAGAAAGATTTTCTAATCAACATCTTTCAAGTATCCTTCTTTGTATCAACAATTGCATGAATAATAAAAATGCAGATAGAGTGGATATAAGGAAGATCATTGTCTGGTACATAAGGATTAAAAGAGTTTTGCTACAAATGATAAAGACACTACCCTCGGTCTGAAGATTCGGTATGTGATCATAAAGTTGGGGGAGGGGTGTGGAGTTTTATTGGTTATGATATATCGAAGCCTAGGTAGCTATCTTCGTAGATTATATTTTTTCAATAACGATGTTCTTCATGACTTTGTTATGTATATATTTTACTAGGCACGTTTGTTGTTTCGTTATTAATATCAAATTCATATTATACATTTTCTATCCATTGAGTACACTATAAATATAATAGGTTCATAAGTCAGATGTAGCCTTTTTGTGATGGTGTGCACTGTACTTTCTCTGTCTGCTTCTGTCTTGTACCAATCTAGATATTAAGGTGAATCAAATATCTTATTTACACCTTTTCAGTGGTCAGGATGATGTAGCAAAACTTATCAAGAGTGGATTTAGAAGAATCAATAACATGGATTGGATATAGTTTCATGCTTTATAGTCTTTTTTTCTTTTTTCTTTTTTAACTATGTTTAGGATTTGAATGGGACACCTATTTGTGTTTCTAGACATGTTTTTGAAGGTTTTTGAACTCTAGTTTTTGTTAGATGATGTAAAATACTCTGATACTTTCCAAAATTAATATTATTGTTTTATGAAAATATAGGTAATTACACCTTTTTTCTTGATGAAAGACCAAAGACTATTGTAACATTATTCATGGTATAATCCATGAGCTTTTGGTAAGCATATTTATGAATCATCAAGTACAAAATCAAACAAAAATTATTTCTTTTTCCAACTACATTATTTTTTTGTAGTGTTCTGGGTTGAGATAGTACATGAAACTGTTTCACAATTCCATATATGATCGATAAAATTTTGACTAAGATGCTCGTAATCCCTATTGTATCTAAGTATCTCATCCTTTTGGCCAGTTGATTCTTAACATTGTTTTATGAGAGCTCTAAAAAACTGAAAGGTTTCAGACATATGTTTATTCAGGTAAACATGTTTATACCTTTTGAAGGTAACAAAGTTGGAATTATCAAGCATTTTGGTTAATATGAATGGTCCATTAGTGTGAACTACTTTCTACAAAGAAGATATGCATTTTTTATAATATTTATGGTCATATGATTTATAAAATTCTATCCAACTAGATACTTGGTAATCTAATTCTCACTTATATGTCCAAGAAAAATGACTCCACAAATACATACCATCCAAACCTCTTTGATATATTCAAATAAGTACATATTCTGGTTAATCTAAATGGTCCATTAATTAAACTAACTCTAATAGATATTCTCATATAATATACTGCCTTTGTCACCTATCTTGATAAATAATATTTTTCTTTATCATTAGAGATATCAACGGGGCAAACAGGATAGGGGTTGCATTCCCCACCCCTCCCAGAAACATCTAGCCTTTCCACCCCCACCCCGCCCCGTTCCCCCACCCCTGATTGATTTTTGGGCTACTTTCTTTGGGCTAAAAGGAACTATTTTTTAGGTAACAAATAGTATTTATAGCATAATTTTACATGTTATATACAACTTAATAACATGCTTTTTGTTGAAATTTGACAGGTCAAAATCATGACTTTCTTTTAAATATGTTAAAATGTTATACATTTAAATAATTCAGAACAATATCATGAAACACACTATCAAAAATTTTAATCATAAGACTATCGACTAAACATTTGGGGAGAATGAGTTATCTTTTGATCCTTTTAATAGTAGCAAGGGCTCGACATTCATGATCATATTATCTACTCTATGTTTTAGTCTTTTTACTTCATTTTAGTCACTACACATTCTTGAAAATGTAATTACTTTATGCTTACTAAAATTATCAAGGATTATAAATCATATTCTATTGGTATTACGAATTTATAAATCTGAATGTGCCATATTTTTTGGCATGTAACTTTTCATTTCTTTCAGATATATTAGGCATGTATGCTTTCTTAGTCCTTTTCTTGTTATGGAAATAATATCCTATCAAAATAGGTCTCAAAAGAAGCCTTCCTTTTTTCCTTGGTGTTTTGTGGTAGAATCAAGTATACGAACACTAACCACCCTTTTACCCATGGAAAATTGGCTTTTTTCTTCTTGACACTTCCATTCATGATAACAAATATAAAAACATTTGAAGCTAAAGTTTATATAATTAACCATGTAAGTTCCAAAAGACCCTCAACATGTCATGCAACTCGTTCATGGACATTTTCATATTGTTCATATAAAAATCAAAGTGAACTAATTATATGTACATGTCAACTAGTTGATGATGATTAACCATATTCAACTCCCAACTTAATGAAATTCCATATTTCTTCAATATGTCAATATATTACATACACTTAGTTTCTGCTCCTTCCCACAATTTAAAATATAATGGTCGGAGAAACCTCATGAAGAGCTTTATCTAAGACATGATCTTTCTTTTCATGTAAGAGAACTATTCTCAAACTATAAATTTACACAAGATTGGTCAGTCTTATCAGCTTACCATTTCAGAGAAATCTTCAGAAAAGTCCCAATATTTAAGGAAAAGTTACACTTTAGTCTCAAGATTTTTTTTTTGAACGAAAAAGTCCCGAAAACTGGCAAAAATTTACAGTTTGACCCTTTTTGACCGCTTGAAACCGGTACCAAATTAATTCGAAACTATTTCGTAAACTAATCCAAAATATTTGGACTTTTCTGTAAACAAAAAATATTATGACTTTCTGTACACAAAAATATTAGGACTTCTCTACAAACAGAACCCTTATTGTTGTTGTTATTATTATTATTATTATTATTATTATTATTATTGAAAATATAAATAAGAATACTATTTTTTGAACTTGTTATTATTAATATTGTTACTAATACATATGAATGCATTAAATGAAAAAATAATATTAATGACATTGATTAAAGGTGGAGGTGAAGGAGATGTTGATGCTTTTAACATTGAAATCATGAATGTTTGCTTCTATATTTTTACTTTGTATATGGTCATTTGACATTTTTTTTTATTGTTTTCAATTCAGAATAATAATACTTAACAATTTAAAAGAAGTTGCATATTTGTAAAATTGTTTATAAATAGTTTAAGCTAGAATGATTTTTCACTTTGTATATAAAAATGTTTAAGCTGGAAGGATTATTTTCCAAATCCAACAGATCCACTACAAACATCTACATAGGTAGCCCATATCAAAATTCAAAAATATTAATTACAATATCTTGTTTAATAAAAAGCAATACGATATGTTTTTTGGATTAATACTTTCGAATTTTGATTAATACTTTTGAATTATTCCTATTAATTTTTATTAAACAAAATATTGTAAGTAACACTTTTGAATTTTGATATGGGTTACTTATGCATATGTTTGTAGTGAATTTGTTGGATTTGGAAAGTAACTCTTCTACCGTTAATTAAAATATTGTAAGTAACAAAATATTGTTGGATTTTGAAAGTAACTCTTCTACCGTTAACATAGGTAGCCATATCAAAATTCAAAAATATTAATTAAAATATTGTAAGTAACAAAATATTGTAAGTAACACTTCTTTCAAAATGTTAAGTATTAACATTTTGAATTGAAAACAATAATAACAAATATGAAATGACCACATACAAAGTAAAACTATTCAAGCAGACATTCACGATTTCAATGCTAAAAGGATCACCATCTCCTCCACCTCCACCCTTAAACATTGTCGTTAATATTATTTTTTTTCATTTAATTCATTTATATGTATTAGTAACAATATTAATAATAACAAGTTGAAAAATAGTATTCTTATTAATATTTTTAATAATAACTAGAAAGGTTACCCCCACTATGCGGGGGCCAGAAGCTTTCAATATTGTTTCCGAATCGATAAATATGACAGACGTAGGAAGTGGAAGGATGAAAAGTGCGGGCTTTGCCCCGAAGCGTTTTTTTCATGTTTTTATGAAAAAATATAAAAATTTTGACTGCAAGGACTAGAAGTGTCAAAATGGCTAAAGAATTAAAGAGGCAGGAATTAGCAACTTTTTAGAAAATGAATCAAAGTTGTCAAACCGTTAAAGTTTTATGGCCAAACTTTAAATATAAAAAGGTTCCTAAAAAGTGTTAAAATATTGATTGGAATCACCAAAAGTGTCAAAATGGTTAAAGAATGAGGAGCAAACTTGCCAAAAAAACTTCCAAATTTAGTATTCCTAATATTCATTTCTTTAATATATACTATGAAAGTACCCCGCTTTGTGGGGGTCGGATTTCAATTAAATCGTTTGGAAAAGGAGTTTACGTTAGATATTTTATTTATTTATTTATTGAAATGGACATATTATCCATCAATTGCATAATCCATGAATTAGATAAAGTTGAAGCCAATGCTCATTACACCCGAAAGCAATGCATCAATTCATATCCATATTGTAATAATCACAAAATATTCAACTTAATTAAAAAGTTTTCCTATCTATACTAAAAAAAAAATAATAACTAAGCGACTGATGATGACATCACTTTACCATGACCTTCATTAACCATAAGGGAAAATAGGTAAGTGGATTCGCATTCTCTTTCGTTCCTTGAAGCGGATCTTTTGCTCCTGCCATTTCAATAACACAGAGAATGATTTAAATCAATAATTCACATTAAGAGTGGTAATATTGATTTTACATAACACACATTCCAAGGCAACAATTAAGAGTACTGGGAGCAAATGTAGACAACAAACCTCAGCAGGAGCTTTATATCTTGGGCCACCAAGAAGACCTTTTCCAAACTTACAC